CTCTATCTATCTTCGTTCTAGATCCTGGATCTTGTGTTGGTTCTACGATGCTGGTTACTAAATTCACCACGAGTCTCAGGTGGATCGATTCATTGATCTAGTACAGAAGTAAAAATGCCAAAAGAATTACTACCTCATTCATCATATATCAGGCGTAGTATATGACCAGTGGAAACTGGAAAGATATGCATTTTGGGAGAGCCCAATAAAGCAAAGCAAAACAATAATAGAAATGGTGATAATAATTGGTGCACGCTTAGAGACACTCTGACAAGGACTGCATAACGGCAATAATCGACTTCGGTCTCACTTGTTTCAGGGTATTTTTAAAATAGACTCTAATAAATCTGTACGAAAGGCACATTGCAAGTAGCTGAAACATCAGAGCATGTTCTTACCTTACGCATTTAATGGTGGGAGCTCTGCAATGGCCCATCTTCGAGCTGATATAAAATGTATACCCAACTTCTTGCCAGCGCTGCTGCTGTCATATCGTCAATTTTCTTTTCCCTTTCTCACACTAAATCAAAATAAATAAATTTTAGTGATCCCAAACAGCAGATGAGGGAGAAGGGTTTGCAACTTTGCATAGCAGACTCAAGAAAGGCAGCAGCTATGACTTTTAAGCATTTTGATTTCGACTAAGAGATGTCATGCTTACATGCATATTGCAATAACCGGTGGCCTAAGACTTCAATGCAAATACTGTGATGTGTCGTGTGGCCATGTGAGAGATCATGAAAGCATATGTCATTGTCATCATGACCTAACTCAAGGAGGTTGACATGTACCCGCATACAATTTCATAACTCAGGTCGGGAACGTAAATTGTCTAGGAAACAACCTGAAAGCAAAGATACAAGGTTCGGTTCTAGGATCTTGGGTAGATGAACAGGAGAAATGTGAAGGAGCTTAAGTCATCAAGAGAGATCTCGGAGCCTAGCATGTAAATTACTAGCTTTCTTATGTGGCATTTCTTTCAGAAATGCCAAATAGCTATAGTGTAGTTCTACTGATCAGTGATCACAGATCAAACCTTGAATATCTGATAGATTATTAAGGTTGTGAGAATGGGTTTAAGGGCTGAATGATTTCGAAAACAGTTCCAAGGCCAGAAGCTTGTTGCTTGTAACGAACCTTTACCCCCATCGTCAACTATGAAGCTGGTCTAAAAATTGTGGGGAAGCAAGTTCCTATGCAACTAAATGATCCTAGCCTACACGTACAAGCCACTATATGTTGATACTTTCAGCACCCAGCAGGACTTAATGTGCTAATCTCTGTTATAAAGAACTGAAACAATGCACTTACGACTGAACATATACAGGAGAATCCAATTGCAGAAAATGAACCTTACCACTTTTCCTAATGTTCTTCACAGTATGGAGGCGTTGATTGGATACACATTTCATCTTCATCATCATCGTCATCATCATCATCAACCTCAGTTGCATCGACCCAATTACTAGGATGACGTTGGGAAAATGCATTATCATTAACTTGTGGTGTATCTGAAAGCGGTCCACAAAATTTTTGTAAGTCAATAAGACAAGCTGAAGTTTCGAACTCACTACTCCAACTAAACCTAGTTCTATTCTTACCTTGTGCTTCTTCCGGAGGACCCTTCTCTCTGTTATGGTGCCTGAAGATGAAGTATAGGAATAAAGGTTCGAATATAGAAAGATGGATTAGTGTACTATGAATCGAACTGTAACATGACTATGATAACCTGACCAAGTTGATGAAGCCCGGTCAAGTCACGGTGTAAAGTTGCTCAAACATTTGATTCTGAGCTAGATTGTGTATTTCAATGGTGAAATTTTCATGCATACGTCCAGTGCTTTGAATTCTAAGCAGAAAAATATTATACCAAGGTTTACGTCTGTTTTCTGCAGTTACGCGATTGCAGTTGTTTGCAGTTCAGCCTGTTGTCATACTGCCCCAGCATTGGAAAGACTAACTCCTTCATCTTTACTACTTGAAATAAACAAATACATGAAGACATTACCTCGATGCAGCAGGAGCTCCTGCAGGTACATTTTCTGATATCTGAATTCTGCCAAGCCTCTGACTTTGCCTGAGATCTGTGGCACTTAAATTTCTGTCTTCTGCAGTTTGTCTATCTTCAGCTGCAGCACTGCCACTTCTTGCTGCACTACCTGTATCAAGTCAAAGCACTCATTCTTCGGTAGATTACTGTAATGTCATCATCATTGGAACTGAGTATTTACCTGAAAGGTCAGACCAAATTTTTGTTTGATCAGATGGATGCTCAGAAGCTGTTGCTCTATGACTACTCTCTGGCTGTGCTTGAGGCTCTTTCTGTCTTACTGCTTGAGCTGGTATAGAGGCAGCTCGTTGTGGTTGTTCAGAGGGGTTTTCTTCACGAAGCTGTGATGTAAGCATTGTTGCAAGAACAAGTGTTGCGTCGAAGTTTGAACCAGATGCATCAGAAAGACCAACTTTTGGTGCCATTAAAATGGGTCTGTTGAACATAATATTCATAGTTAGATATACTAATGCATCCTGACTTTGAAGTTGCACATTATGAGTGAGACTGACAGTAAAAGCAACCTATGAATTTTGTTCTACACACTCCAACTGAAAATTGCAGATTTTTTACAGGAGTAACCAGGACTTGTCTTGGCGTTCTGTAACAGAAGCCTTACTTCACCAACTTTTCTTTCCACTAATTCCACTGCCAACTAATGATCCTTGGTCAAATTGCAATGTATCTTCAGGTATGCTGTGCTAGAAAACCAACAAATTACTACATCTTGAACATAGCTGATGCACTACTCTGCTGACATTGACCCAAATATAGAAAGGTTATCTCATCAGCTAGTATTTCTTTACGACATTTTTACCAATAGTGAAATACCTTAACCAATTACAAAGATACAAATGGGTGGAAATGGACGTTGAACAGAGGAAGTCAGAAGATGAGTTGCAAATGAGATAAAATGACACAAGAAATGCAGTTAAGATAGCAATATGTGGCTGTGTGGGATGAGGGAGAAACAAAACTTACTCCCCAGCCTTTTCAAAATATAAATGTATGTCGACTTCACAGCTCTCACAAAATGAAACGAATGCCTGCAGGCCACAAATATGGATAAGTTAATAATATTTATTTGAGACAAGAAAGAGAAGGTGCTGCCCTACTGATCCTAAACAACAGGTGCATAAGATCAAGATCTTGCAAAATGCATGAATATCACAAACAATGCCGCACAGGAAACTAGCTTATTCCACCTTCCATTCCTTTACTCCGAATGTGATATCAACAGGGTCTCCAACATGATTATAGTGGACAAATTCTTCTGTAGGATCTATCCACAATTGAGTGTGCAGCGAAGAGTCATTGTCTACAGTAAGCAGAACTGCAGTAAGATACTCTCCATTCAAGTCATTAGTAAACTCACAAGAAACTAGCTGACCTTTTGTTGGATCAATATAACTTCTGAGTTCAACGGCTTTCTCTCCTGTTTCACTATCAGCATCAGAAGGCAAAGAAGTAGTTTCTGTTGCAATGATCGTTATCTCTTGAAGTGATGATTGAAAATTTGCTAGAAGTCTGTTTAGATCTCGCGGTCTGACTATTAAGCTGCTTGGAAAACCATTCCTATCAAGAGCCAGATGTTGTATGTCGGGCTCAACATTGCAAGTAATTGAATAGGCCTTTCTCATACCTGCACAATATCAATTATGAATATGGTTGAATCCTTCAAGGAGCATAGTCAATGAATCATTCCAACAGAAAATGGAGCACATTGGGAACACATAAAGCTAGTCCGATTTCAAGAAAACCAAATCTCACATGCGATCTCAACATGTCTAACTATACACGCTGATACAAAATGAAACCTTCCATGGTTGCGTCCACTTATAGAAACCAGGCAGTGAATGAATCGTTCCAAATTGCAGGAAGATGAGCATACACATATCACCAAACGTTTCAGAAAAGAGCAGAAGCCATCAAATGTAATACTATTTCATAAGGACATTTTACCGTTATTGCACTCCAAGGTCCATTGCACTTTGGAAGCATCAGGATCAGGCAACTGAACTCTGAGATGATCGATGCTTTGAATAGGTGTCCTAAGGACGGCGCAAACCGCCTGGATTGTGTAAGAACAAGAATCAGCGCCATTCAGAAACTGATACAGATCCTTCAACGTTTCTCCTGAACCAAACAGCAACGAATCTACTACTATACCTTCACAAGCACGCTGAATTTGACCTGAGCGCCGAATATCGTATAAACATCGAAGAAGCCAGGCTTGAACGTAATAGACTGATACGCAGATCTCGACGAGTTGAGAGTGTGAAATTCAAGCTGAAAAATCGTAAGCGCAAACCAATAATCAACGCAAGACGGGGGAAAATAAAGTCGAAACGAAGCCAATTTCCCCTCAGCTTCTCGGCGACCAAACTAATCCAGACGCGGAATCGCTCAACTCCAATCACTAATTTCTTCAGTCAGTTTATGGAAATAGAAATTCCTCCAGCGAGAACAGCGAAAACTTGCCGAGGAGCTCGAAATAGAGAAGGTAGCTCGGATGATAGCTTTTACCTGAGAAGAAGAAGCTTCAATGGCAAGCTCGTTGCCGATACGAGCTAGACATGTGATGCACCGGGAAAATGTTTTCAATCCGTTCCCGCTCAGACTGAACTCCATCGCTCTGACGACCGATTCTCCGTCTCTAGTCGCCGATCTCAGCGCCGCTACGCAGAGATTGCTGGGCGGGAAGAAGAAGAAGAAGAAGAAGTGACACTTTTCAAGCGCGCAATTGCTCCAATTCGTTCACCCTCCTGCAATTCGTTTTTTTTTTTATTGCTCCAGTTTTTCCATTTCGAATTCATGGATAATCTCATATTCTCCAGGCTGGGCTGAAAGCCTTAACTTATGGGCCAAAGCATAGAAAAGCCCACATAGGAATTGGCCTTCATCAGTCCCAAACTGGCGGCTTAGGGTTTTTGGCGGAAGGGGATATATAGGGAAGCGAAGGGAAATTTTCTGCCTCTGAGCTCAAAACCCTCAACCCGCAGTTTCTCTCTCGACTCTCGAACGGTAAATCATCGATTCTTCTTCTTCTTAGCTCCGTCTGCTGTTAATCCTAAATCGTTTCCTTAATCTTTTAGCTGTTTGTATTTCAATTATGTCGTTCTGATTTCTGGTTGCTTGGTCTCAAACAGGTGATTTTGAGCTTAAATTTGCTGTTTCCGGCGGGTTTTAGATCAATCAACCAAGATGCAGAACGAAGAAGGTCAGGACATTGATCTCTACATCCCAAGGAAATGGTGAGTGATGGAATTAACCTGGCTTAAGTCTTTTCATCAGGGTTATGTTTTTTTTCTCCAAACGAACTAGTAGCTTAAGTTTTGCGTCTGATTTGTTTTGCAGCTCTGCCACCAACAGGCTGATTACCTCCAAGGATCACGCCTCCGTCCAGGTTAACGTTGGTCATTTGGATGCCAACGGTCGTTACACCGGCCAGTTCACCACTTATGCTCTCTGCGGTTTCGTCCGAGCTCAGGTATTCTGTCTCCTCGTTTCATATTGCTAGGTTTTCTACTTGTTTGTGTGCTAGGTAGTATTGTGGACTGTTGCTGTCTCTTAAAGAACCTAGGTCATTATGGTTGATAATCTAGGTTTAGCAAAGCAGATTACCGCGAAGATCTGTGGCAGTGAAATTGTTGATTCCAGTGGATTGAAATGGGTTCATCCTTCATGAGTTCATGCCCTGAGTAGTTCCAACCACTAAGCTAGGTCTTCATTTTATTTTTGAATGATAATAGATAGCAACTCACCAGTCAGATTTAACTCTAAATATAGCGTTTTATCTGCTCCTCGTTTAGTCGTTTTGCATTGATTGAATGTAACTCTTTGAATTATACAATTCAAGGTGGTATTAGTTTGCTTTCTTAATTTTCGGGCATTCCTTTTTGTTGGGTCGATACTCGATACTGTGAACTGCTGTGCTGGTTCTTCTTTCATAAAGTAGGAGTAGCTGGTTCTATAAGTGTAGTAGTTTGTTTGAGTTTATGCTTTGATTTGGGTCGACGTGACTTGAAATTTGGTCCTTCATTTTTTTGTTAATCTCTTGGGCTCTACTTGGCTATTTTGCAGGGTGATGGTGACAGTGCCCTCGACAGGCTGTGGCAGAAGAAGAAGGCTGAACTGCGCCAATGATTTTACTCGCGATTAGTAACCCATTATCTAGTTGAGGGAGGGAGCGATTAGTGTGTAATGGATGATACTCTTTTATCACAATTTGTGGATTTTGTTCAATGGATTGATGTTACATTCATCCTATGGAAGTTCAGATTTCATTTGACTAGATGCTTGTGGATGGAATTTGGTTCTTGCTGTTTTCGTCCTCCCCTCATAAGTGCGAATCCATATGTTCAACTGCAGTATATGTGCAATTTCATGAGTCTTGTTGCAGTTTTAGCGATTGTATTCGTTTCTCAGTTTGATCGATTCTCTTTTGTGTTTCAATCTGCTATTCTATTTTTTTCTTTCAAACGACAGCTTTTTTTTTTGGGCTTGAAAGGGTCGCAGGCATTTATTTTGTCACGCATCTCTTCGATCGAAAGGGATTGGTCGAGCGTCCTACTTTTTCTGGTATTGCCCGACATACTTTTTCTGGTATTGCCCGACAGACTCGTAGTTTCGATAACTTTCTGGTCAATAACCATGTATAACTCAATCATCATCCGTTAATGGGTGTACACCTTTAGTACATTGATTGTTGCCAAAGGATATGAAGAGTGACATTTGTCACTTCTTCTTGCCTTATAAAATAAATAAATTTATATAATGTACTTATTATATATTATTTATAAAAAAAATTGTAGTCAACCATGTTTAAAAGAAAAGATAGAGAGAATAACAAAGTGAAAATCTTAAAGTGAAGTTGTTAGACTTCGATATGAAGATCTTGCCACCATGTCGTTGTGATGGTTTGACATGTTGAGTCATATATCAGGTCATGCCATGCCATGTTGTCGTGTCTCGAGTAGCCATGACTTGGTGAGCATGATGGTTTGAAACGTGGTAGTAGTAGAGTGGTGACTGATGACCATATTTTCTTTAACAGGATGAAAAGGAACATTATTGTTCGAAGACAAAGGGTAGACAACTTGAGTTGTCGTGAGGGAGCTGCATAACCTTGTGACGAGGTGAGATGAGTCGTTCCATGTTAAAATTCGTAATGAAAAATTCTAAGTTAATTGCTCAACCATGTGGCCAAGTACTAGATGGCAACGAGGGTTTTGAATAGAATTCAAGAGGGTTTGGGTGAGAGATATGTTTTTTTTTATTGAAAGCCAAAATTTGGCTAATGCATGGGACAAATTTTGACGGTGAATGTCATCCGTCCATGTTGGTTTGATAATGGAAAGCCAGAATTTGGCTAAAGCATGAAACGAGTTTTGACGACGAGTTCCAACTGGCCATGTTTGATTGATCATTGAAAGCCAAAATTTGGCTTAAGGCATGAGACAAGTTTTAACGAGGAGTTCCTTCCCGATGTGTTGGCTTGACGTGATAGTCAAAATTTGGCTAAGACATGAAACAAGCTTTGATGACGAGTTCCATCCAGTTAGGTTGGCTTGACGTGGTAGCAAACATTTGGCCAAGGCATGGGACAAGTTTTGACGGTGAGTTCCATCCGGCCGTGTTGGTTTGATCATTGTAAGCCAAATTTTTTTGGCTAAGGTAAATATACATACCTGATTTGAGTAGACGACTTGTTGTCTCGCAAGGTGGTGTTAACTACTTTGTCCGTAATTCTTATGCACTAAGTAGTTGGGGGCATTTGTTTACATCCAAAAAATAATTTTGTACCACATTGATTATTTACAAGGCATTAACTGTCTTTATAAGGCCAGATCATTAATGACAATTAATGTTATTTGAACTGGCCTCATGGTACTAATTTTTAAGCCTAAACCACTAAGTCTCTAGGAAGGTACTAGATTCATCGTGAGTTTGGTAGCCCAAGGTGGTCGCGAGATCTATACCACGTTGGCGTCAAGTCTAGTAGCCCGACGTGGTCGCAAGATCTAGACCACGTTGGCGTCAAGTCTAGTAGCCCGACATGGTCGCGGGTAGGGATGGCAATTTTGCCCATACCCATGGATATTTTACTATCCAACACAATTGGGTTGGGTATGAAATCCAAATATATGGATATGGGTAAAGTTTGATGGATTTGTACCCATACCCATTTACTTTGGGTTGGGTTGGGTTTATAACAAATGGATTTGGGTTTGTACCCATGCCCAAATACAAATTACAGTTTGGTACCTAAACTTAATAGATATGCATATTTAGTACCTAAATTTAATTTTTTTGCATATAAGTCCTCAAAATATCTATGAAAAATTACGTTTTGGTACCTAAATTTTTTTGGTCTTAGATTTTAGTACCTAAACTTTTCAAGTTTTACAAATAGGTCCAATTTTTGCATGTGTAGTTAAAACACCCTCAAGTAAATGGATATCCATATACAACCCATACCCATTTAGATAATATCCATATCTAACCCAAACCCATATACAAACCCCAAACCCATACACACATCACTCAAACCCTACCCATAATAAATGGGTCTACTTGGTTTTGGGCAAAATTACCCATGGGTGGGTAAATTGCCATCCCTAGTCGCGGGATCTAGATCACATTGGCGTCAAGCATAGTGGCCCAACGTGGTCGCGAGATCGAGATCTAGACCACATTGGCATCAAGTCTGCTAGACCGATGTGGTCGCGAGATCTAGACCATGTTGGTGTCAAGTTTGATAGACCAAGGTGGTCTAATAAGTTGGAAGTAAGAAAGCAAGCCGCGTGGGAGAGGAAAGCCACAAAGACGTCAGTTCCAAGAGAGAGAGCATGCGGTTAACAAAGCAAATGTTGATTATCTCACGTGCAAGGACAATATAAGCGATTATTTCATGCATTATTTGAGGTGTTTCTCACACTACAAGAAATAGCAGGTTTGTGACAGAACAATTCATCGCTAAAAGTCCAATTTTTCGTCGCAAAAAGATACTGCGACAAAAGTGGTGATCATCTCCATAGGCAACTTTTGGGCGTCGCGTATACCGCGTCGCCAAAGGCTTCTGCGACGAAAACTGATAGTTCGTCGCCCAAAGGCTTCCGCAACGAAATTGATTAATAGTGGCGTGCGAAAAACAAGATTATAAGATAAGAATAAGTGAACGGAGATGAGAAAATAATGTTGAAGAAATATCTTATATTTATATTATTGTCTTTTTCAGTTCCTACCCATTGAACGATAATGGTCCTCCGATTTTCCTAATCACGTGGGACTGCCGCAAAAGTGCGGTTAATTTCTAGTTTATATTTAAGATTTTCTTAATAAGTGGATAAATTACATAAAAAATTATTTGTAAATTATAGTAAGTGAACAAGGATGAGTGGATGACATTTCTATTAGTATTTTGTCTTTGAGTATAATTTCTTTTGTTTATTATGACCACTTGAAAAAATTGGTTCAATTTTGAATGTCTTTTGGGATCAAATCACATTAGGAGTCGTCTAGATGAGGAATTTATATACAGGATTTTTTCTAAATCCGTCATTGTGCCAAATTTCACTCAATCACTCATTTGAGGGGGAAAAACGAGAGGTTTGGACACAAAAAATTTCAAAACCCTACATTTGTCGGATTTAGAAATCGATTATTTAGAAATCCGACATTTATTCCAACCCTATCCTTGTTAAAAAAATTAATCAAGTTTTACCCTTTTGTTCTGACTCGTCTTCCATCGTCTCTCAGCTCTTTAGCTCTCTCAACCTATCTCCTCCGATCTGTTTTTCCTCATACCTCCGCCTCCCTATCCGACTTCCTCTCATACTCCAAATCTTGGATTTTGCCGAAAACAAGTAAAAATCTTTGTCACTTAGGTTTGAGTTCTTAATCTGCTTCATTCCACGCACGGCGACGAAGACCAGTGTTGGCGAGGGCGATGGAGTGAGAAGACGGAGGGCGATTTTAGGGTTGCTACCGCAGATATCTCCACCGTGGTCCGATTTTAGGGTTTGTCGTCGAAGTCGTTTTGGAAGCCTTTCTCGAAGGGATTGTTTGGATTTTTTTTTTTTTTGATACCCAGGAACCTCAGCCCCACGTGCCACTTTGTGACAGCGGGTCCTACTAAACCTGGGGGCCACCTGCATTTAATTTGACGCCAACGGGGCTTCGCCCCCAGCAGCCTTGTACCTCCGGGAACACCAACGGGCCTCGCTTGGATTCGAACCTGGGATCTGCAACTCCCAAGCCTTCACTGTTGCGGCAGCTTTTACCGTTAGGCTATCTTACCTTTGGTGGGATGGTTTGGATTAAAGATTTAGGTAATGAGGGATTTGTCCCACAATCACTCAATTAGAAACCTCTGTATTTTAAACCCAGGTTTTGGTTAAATATTTTGTTTGTTTATGGATGAGGGATTTATTAGTTAGAGAATTTAAATCTGAAAGCAAATGCAGAAATTACAACTACACCCTTCATCAGATGTAGCAGTCGGTAACGGTCTACTTCAACTGTAATTGTTCCCTCTGCCGTTGCGTTCTCTGATCTCCCCCACACCACTCCCATTGAACGTCGTCATATTTCCCCAAACATATTAGAGTTGCTGCATCAACCAACTTCGAATCGGGAGGGACTCCGTCATTTCCTTCTCCACCTTCCTCGTATATAACCTCCAACGACGCTCTGACGTCCCACTGGACGAAAGGCAACTAGAAACTCGGCGCTCCGATGTCCCTCTACTGAAGCTGCTGCAGGTAATTCATTGCAAGAGTTAGCTGCTGCAGATAATTCTTCCATATCAGTTTCTACGATCTCATTCCTAGGCTTGACCATTTCCTTGATTTCTCTGCACTTTTCTGTTCTCTGAACGGTTCCTAGACGGATGAGACGAAGCAGGTTGAGTGTTGTTATGACGATCACCCGAGAAAGGCTTGTGGTTGTGTAAGAACAAGAATTCCTCCAAGTTTATGGAAATAGAATTCCTCCAGCGAAAACTTGCAGAAGAGCTCGAAATAGAGAAGGTAGATCGGATGATAGCTTTTACCTGAGAAGAAGAAGCTTCAATGGCAAGCTCGTTGCCGATACGAGCTAGACATGTGATGCACCGGGAAAATGTTTTCAATCCGTTCCCGCTCAGACTGAACTCCATCGCTCTGACGACCGATTCGCCGTCTCTAGCCGCCGATCTCAGCGCCGCTACGCAGAGATTGCTGGGCGGGAAGAAGAAGAAGAAGTGACACTTTTCAAGCGCGCAATTGCTCCAATTCGTTCACCCTCCTACAAATCGTTTTTTTTATTTATTTATTTTATTTCTCCAGTTTTTCCATTTCGAATTCATGGATAATCTCATATTCTCCAGGATGGGCTGAAAGCCTTAACTTATTGTATGGGCCAAAGCATAGAAAAGCCCAGATAGGAATTGGCCTTCATCAGTCCCAAACTGGCGGCTTAGGGTTTTTGGCGGAAGGGGATATATAGGGCAGCGAAGGGAAATTTTCTGCCTCTGAGCATTTTGCAATAACCGGTGGCCTAAGACTTCAATGCAAATACTGTGATGTGTCGTGTGGCCATGTGAGAGATCATGAAAGCATATGTCATTGTCATCATGACCTAACTCAAGGAGGTTGACATGTACCCGCATACAATTTCATAACTCAGGTCGGGAACGTAAATTGTCTAGGAAACAACCTGAAAGCAAAGATACAAGGTTCGGTTCTAGGATCTTGGGTAGATGAACAGGAGAAATGTGAAGGAGCTTAAGTCATCAAGAGAGATCTCGGAGCCTAGCATGTAAATTACTAGCTTTCTTATGTGGCATTTCTTTCAGAAATGCCAAATAGCTATAGTGTAGTTCTACTGATCAGTGATCACAGATCAAACCTTGAATATCTGATAGATTATTAAGGTTGTGAGAATGGGTTTAAGGGCTGAATGATTTCGAAAACAGTTCCAAGGCCAGAAGCTTGTTGCTTGTAACGAACCTTTACCCCCATCGTCAACTATGAAGCTGGTCTAAAAATTGTGGGGAAGCAAGTTCCTATGCAACTAAATGATCCTAGCCTACACGTACAAGCCACTATATGTTGATACTTTCAGCACCCAGCAGGACTTAATGTGCTAATCTCTGTTATAAAGAACTGAAACAATGCACTTACGACTGAACATATACAGGAGAATCCAATTGCAGAAAATGAACCTTACCACTTTTCCTAATGTTCTTCACAGTATGGAGGCGTTGATTGGATACACATTTCATCTTCATCATCATCGTCATCATCATCATCAACCTCAGTTGCATCGACCCAATTACTAGGATGACGTTGGGAAAATGCATTATCATTAACTTGTGGTGTATCTGAAAGCGGTCCACAAAATTTTTGTAAGTCAATAAGACAAGCTGAAGTTTCGAACTCACTACTCCAACTAAACCTAGTTCTATTCTTACCTTGTGCTTCTTCCGGAGGACCCTTCTCTCTGTTATGGTGCCTGAAGATGAAGTATAGGAATAAAGGTTCGAATATAGAAAGATGGATTAGTGTACTATGAATCGAACTGTAACATGACTATGATAACCTGACCAAGTTGATGAAGCCCGGTCAAGTCACGGTGTAAAGTTGCTCAAACATTTGATTCTGAGCTAGATTGTGTATTTCAATGGTGAAATTTTCATGCATACGTCCAGTGCTTTGAATTCTAAGCAGAAAAATATTATACCAAGGTTTACGTCTGTTTTCTGCAGTTACGCGATTGCAGTTGTTTGCAGTTCAGCCTGTTGTCATACTGCCCCAGCATTGGAAAGACTAACTCCTTCATCTTTACTACTTGAAATAAACAAATACATGAAGACATTACCTCGATGCAGCAGGAGCTCCTGCAGGTACATTTTCTGATATCTGAATTCTGCCAAGCCTCTGACTTTGCCTGAGATCTGTGGCACTTAAATTTCTGTCTTCTGCAGTTTGTCTATCTTCAGCTGCAGCACTGCCACTTCTTGCTGCACTACCTGTATCAAGTCAAAGCACTCATTCTTCGGTAGATTACTGTAATGTCATCATCATTGGAACTGAGTATTTACCTGAAAGGTCAGACCAAATTTTTGTTTGATCAGATGGATGCTCAGAAGCTGTTGCTCTATGACTACTCTCTGGCTGTGCTTGAGGCTCTTTCTGTCTTACTGCTTGAGCTGGTATAGAGGCAGCTCGTTGTGGTTGTTCAGAGGGGTTTTCTTCACGAAGCTGTGATGTAAGCATTGTTGCAAGAACAAGTGTTGCGTCGAAGTTTGAACCAGATGCATCAGAAAGACCAACTTTTGGTGCCATTAAAATGGGTCTGTTGAACATAATATTCATAGTTAGATATACTAATGCATCCTGACTTTGAAGTTGCACATTATGAGTGAGACTGACAGTAAAAGCAACCTATGAATTTTGTTCTACACACTCCAACTGAAAATTGCAGATTTTTTACAGGAGTAACCAGGACTTGTCTTGGCGTTCTGTAACAGAAGCCTTACTTCACCAACTTTTCTTTCCACTAATTCCACTGCCAACTAATGATCCTTGGTCAAATTGCAATGTATCTTCAGGTATGCTGTGCTAGAAAACCAACAAATTACTACATCTTGAACATAGCTGATGCACTACTCTGCTGACATTGACCCAAATATAGAAAGGTTATCTCATCAGCTAGTATTTCTTTACGACATTTTTACCAATAGTGAAATACCTTAACCAATTACAAAGATACAAATGGGTGGAAATGGACGTTGAACAGAGGAAGTCAGAAGATGAGTTGCAAATGAGATAAAATGACACAAGAAATGCAGTTAAGATAGCAATATGTGGCTGTGTGGGATGAGGGAGAAACAAAACTTACTCCCCAGCCTTTTCAAAATATAAATGTATGTCGACTTCACAGCTCTCACAAAATGAAACGAATGCCTGCAGGCCACAAATATGGATAAGTTAATAATATTTATTTGAGACAAGAAAGAGAAGGTGCTGCCCTACTGATCCTAAACAACAGGTGCATAAGATCAAGATCTTGCAAAATGCATGAATATCACAAACAATGCCGCACAGGAAACTAGCTTATTCCACCTTCCATTCCTTTACTCCGAATGTGATATCAACAGGGTCTCCAACATGATTATAGTGGACAAATTCTTCTGTAGGATCTATCCACAATTGAGTGTGCAGCGAAGAGTCATTGTCTACAGTAAGCAGAACTGCAGTAAGATACTCTCCATTCAAGTCATTAGTAAACTCACAAGAAACTAGCTGACCTTTTGTTGGATCAATATAACTTCTGAGTTCAACGGCTTTCTCTCCTGTTTCACTATCAGCATCAGAAGGCAAAGAAGTAGTTTCTGTTGCAATGATCGTTATCTCTTGAAGTGATGATTGAAAATTTGCTAGAAGTCTGTTTAGATCTCGCGGTCTGACTATTAAGCTGCTTGGAAAACCATTCCTATCAAGAGCCAGATGTTGTATGTCGGGCTCAACATTGCAAGTAATTGAATAGGCCTTTCTCATACCTGCACAATATCAATTATGAATATGGTTGAATCCTTCAAGGAGCATAGTCAATGAATCATTCCAACAGAAAATGGAGCACATTGGGAACACATAAAGCTAGTCCGATTTCAAGAAAACCAAATCTCACATGCGATCTCAACATGTCTAACTATACACGCTGATACAAAATGAAACCTTCCATGGTTGCGTCCACTTATAGAAACCAGGCAGTGAATGAATCGTTCCAAATTGCAGGAAGATGAGCATACACATATCACCAAACGTTTCAGAAAAGAGCAGAAGCCATCAAATGTAATACTATTTCATAAGGACATTTTACCGTTATTGCACTCCAAGGTCCATTGCACTTTGGAAGCATCAGGATCAGGCAACTGAACTCTGAGATGATCGATGCTTTGAATAGGTGTCCTAAGGACGGCGCAAACCGCCTGGATTGTGTAAGAACAAGAATCAGCGCCATTCAGAAACTGATACAGATCCTTCAACGTTTCTCCTGAACCAAACAGCAACGAATCTACTACTATACCTTCACAAGCACGCTGAATTTGACCTGAGCGCCGAATATCGTATAAACATCGAAGAAGCCAGGCTTGAACGTAATAGACTGATACGCAGATCTCGACGAGTTGAGAGTGTGAAATTCAAGCTGAAAAATCGTAAGCGCAAACCAATAATCAACGCAAGACGGGGGAAAATAAAGTCGAAACGAAGCCAATTTCCCCTCAGCTTCTCGGCGACCAAACTAATCCAGACGCGGAATCGCTCAACTCCAATCACTAATTTCTTCAGTCAGTTTATGGAAATAGAAATTCCTCCAGCGAGAACAGCGAAAACTTGCCGAGGAGCTCGAAATAGAGAAGGTAGCTCGGATGATAGCTTTTACCTGAGAAGAAGAAGCTTCAATGGCAAGCTCGTTGCCGATACGAGCTAGACATGTGATGCACCGGGAAAATGTTTTCAATCCGTTCCCGCTCAGACTGAACTCCATCGCTCTGACGACCGATTCTCCGTCTCTAGTCGCCGATCTCAGCGCCGCTACGCAGAGATTGCTGGGCGGGAAGAAGAAGAAGAAGAAGAAGTGACACTTTTCAAGCGCGCAATTGCTCCAATTCGTTCACCCTCCTGCAATTCGTTTTTTTTTTATTGCTCCAGTTTTTCCATTTCGAATTCATGGATAATCTCATATTCTCCAGGCTGGGCTGAAAGCCTTAACTTATGGGCCAAAGCATAGAAAAGCCCACATAGGAATTGGCCTTCATCAGTCCCAAACTGGCGGCTTAGGGTTTTTGGCGGAAGGGGATATATAGGGAAGCGAAGGGAAATTTTCTGCCTCTGAGCTCAAAACCCTCAACCCGCAGTTTCTCTCTCGACTCTCGAACGGTAAATCATCGATTCTTCTTCTTCTTAGCTCCGTCTGCTGTTAATCCTAAATCGTTTCCTTAATCTTTTAGCTGTTTGTATTTCAATTATGTCGTTCTGATTTCTGGTTGCTTGGTCTCAAACAGGTGATTTTGAGCTTAAATTTGCTGTTTCCGGCGGGTTTTAGATCAATCAACCAAGATGCAGAACGAAGAAGGTCAGGACATTGATCTCTACATCCCAAGGAAATGGTGAGTGATGGAATTAACCTGGCTTAAGTCTTTTCATCAGGGTTATGTTTTTTTTCTCCAAACGAACTAGTAGCTTAAGTTTTGCGTCTGATTTGTTTTGCAGCTCTGCCACCAACAGGCTGATTACCTCCAAGGATCACGCCTCCGTCCAGGTTAACGTTGGTCATTTGGATGCCAACGGTCGTTACACCGGCCAGTTCACCACTTATGCTCTCTGCGGTTTCGTCCGAGCTCAGGTATTCTGTCTCCTCGTTTCATATTGCTAGGTTTTCTACTTGTTTGTGTGCTAGGTAGTATTGTGGACTGTTGCTGTCTCTTAAAGAACCTAGGTCATTATGGTTGATAATCTAGGTTTAGCAAAGCAGATTACCGCGAAGATCTGTGGCAGTGAAATTGTTGATTCCAGTGGATTGAAATGGGTTCATCCTTCATGAGTTCATGCCCTGAGTAGTTCCAACCACTAAGCTAGGTCTTCATTTTATTTTTGAATGATAATAGATAGCAACTCACCAGTCAGATTTAACTCTAAATATAGCGTTTTATCTGCTCCTCGTTTAGTCGTTTTGCATTGATTGAATGTAACTCTTTGAATTATACAATTCAAGGTGGTATTAGTTTGCTTTCTTAATTTTCGGGCATTCCTTTTTGTTGGGTCGATACTCGATACTGTGAACTGCTGTGCTGGTTCTTCTTTCATAAAGTAGGAGTAGCTGGTTCTATAAGTGTAGTAGTTTGTTTGAGTTTATGCTTTGATTTGGGTCGACGTGACTTGAAATTTGGTCCTTCATTTTTTTGTTAATCTCTTGGGCTCTACTTGGCTATTTTGCAGGGTGATGGTGACAGTGCCCTCGACAGGCTGTGGCAGAAGAAGAAGGCTGAACTGCGCCAATGATTTTACTCGCGATTAGTAACCCATTATCTAGTTGAGGGAGGGAGCGATTAGTGTGTAATGGATGATACTCTTTTATCACAATTTGTGGATTTTGTTCAATGGATTGATGTTACATTCATCCTATGGAAGTTCAGATTTCATTTGACTAGATGCTTGTGGATGGAATTTGGTTCTTGCTGTTTTCGTCCTCCCCTCATAAGTGCGAATCCATATGTTCAACTGCAGTATATGTGCAATTTCATGAGTCTTGTTGCAGTTTTAGCGATTGTATTCGTTTCTCAGTTTGATCGATTCTCTTTTGTGTTTCAATCTGCTATTCTATTTTTTTCTTTCAAACGACAGCTTTTTTTTTTGGGCTTGAAAGGGTCGCAGGCATTTATTTTGTCACGCATCTCTTCGATCGAAAGGGATTGGTCGAGCGTCCTACTTTTTCTGGTATTGCCCGACATACTTTTTCTGGTATTGCCCGACAGACTCGTAGTTTCGATAACTTTCTGGTCAATAACCATGTATAACTCAATCATCATCCGTTAATGGGTGTACACCTTTAGTACATTGATTGTTGCCAAAGGATATGAAGAGTGACATTTGTCACTTCTTCTTGCCTTATAAAATAAATAAATTTATATAATGTACTTATTATATATTATTTATAAAAAAAATTGTAGTCAACCATGTTTAAAAGAAAAGATAGAGAGAATAACAAAGTGAAAATCTTAAAGTGAAGTTGTTAGACTTCGATATGAAGATCTTGCCACCATGTCGTTGTGATGGTTTGACATGTTGAGTCATATATCAGGTCATGCCATGCCATGTTGTCGTGTCTCGAGTAGCCATGACTTGGTGAGCATGATGGTTTGAAACGTGGTAGTAGTAGAGTGGTGACTGATGACCATATTTTCTTTAACAGGATGAAAAGGAACATTATTGTTCGAAGACAAAGGGTAGACAACTTGAGTTGTCGTGAGGGAGCTGCATAACCTTGTGACGAGGTGAGATGAGTCGTTCCATGTTAAAATTCGTAATGAAAAATTCTAAGTTAATTGCTCAACCATGTGGCCAAGTACTAGATGGCAACGAGGGTTTTGAATAGAATTCAAGAGGGTTTGCGTGAGAGATATGTTTTTTTTTATTGAAAGCCAAAATTTGGCTAATGCATGGGACAAATTTTGACGGTGAATGTCATCCGTCCATGTTGGTTTGATAATGGAAAGCCAGAATTTGGCTAAAGCATGGAACGAGTTTTGACGACGAGTTCCATCTGGCCATGTTTGCTTGATCATTGAAAGCCAAAATTCGGTTTAAGGCATGAGACAAGTTTTAACGAGGAGTTCCTTCCCGATGTGTTGGCTTGACGTGATAGTCAAAATTTGGCGAAGGCATGGAACAAGCTTTGATGACGAGTTCCATCCAGTCAGGTTGGCTTGACGTGGTAGCAAACATTTGGCCAAGGCATGGGACAAGTTTTGACGGTGAGTTCCATCCGGCCGTGTTGGTTTGATCATTGTAAGCCAAATTTTTTTGGCTAAGGTAAATATACATACCTGATTTGAGTAGACGACTTGTACCATATTGATTATTTACAAGGCATTAATTGTCTTTATAAGGCCAGATCATTAATGACAATTAATGTTATTTGAACTGGCCTCATGGTACTAGTTTTTAAGCCTAAACCACTAAGTCTCTAGGAAGGTACTAGATTTGTCGTGAGTTTGGTAGCCCAATGTGGTCGCGAGATCTATACCACATTGGCGTCAAGTCTAGTAGCCCGACGTGGTCGTAAGATCTAGACCACGTTGGCGTCAAGCCTAGTATCCCGACATGGTCGCGGGATCTAAATCACATTGGCGTCAAGCATAGTGGCCCAACGTGGTCGCGAGATCGAGATCTAGACCACGTTGGCATCAAGTCTACTAGACCGATGTGGTCGCGAGATCTAGACCATGTTGGTGTCAAGTTTGATAGACCAAGGTGGTCTAATAAGTTGGAGGTAAGAAAGCAAGTCGCATGGGAGAGGAAAGCCACAAAGACGTCAGTTCCAAGAGAGAGAGCATGTGGTTAACAAAGCAACTGTTGATTATCTCACATGCAAGGACAATATAAGCGATTATTTCATGCATTATTTGAGGTGCTTCTCACACTACAAGAAATAGCAGGTTTGTGACAGAACAATTCATCGCTAAAAGTCCAATTTTTCGTCGCAAAAAGATACTGCAACAAAAGTGGTGATCATCTCCATAGCCAACTTCTGGGCGTCGCGTATACCGCGTCGCTAAAGGCTTCTGCGACGAAAACTGATAGTTCTTCGCCCAAAGGCTTCCGCAACGAAATTGATTAATAGTGGCGTGCGAAAAACAAGATTATAAGATAAGAATAAGTGAACGGAGATGAGAAATAATGTTGAAGAAATATCTTATATTCATATTATTGTCTTTTTCAGTTCCTACTCATTGAACGATAATGGTCCTCCGATTTTCCTAATCACGTGGGGCCGCCGCAAAAGTGCGGTTAATTTCTAGTTTATATTTAAGATTATCTTAATAAGTGGATAAATTACATAAAAGATTATTTGTAAATTATAGTAAGTGAACAAGGATGAGTGGATGACATTTCTATTAGTATTTTGTCTTTAAGTATAATTTTTTTTTTTGTTTATTATGACCACTTGAAAAAATTGGTTCAATTTTGAATGTCTTTTGGGATCAAATCACATTAGGAGTCGTCTAGATGAGGAATTTATATACAGGATTTTTTCTAAATCTATCATTGTGCCAAATTTCACTCAATCACTCATTTGAGGAAAAAACGAGAGGTTTGGACACAAAAAATTTTAAAACCCTACATTTGCCGGATTTAGAAATCGATTATTTAGAAATCCAACATTTTTTTCTAACCATATCCTTGTTAAAAAAATTAATCAGGTTTTACCCTTTTGTTGTGACCCGTCTTCCATCGTCTCTCAGCTCTTTACCTCTCTCAACCTATCTCCTCCGATCTGTTTTTCCTCATACCTCCGCCTCCCTATCCGACTTCCTCTCATACTCCAAATCTTGGATTTTGCCGAAAACAAGTAAAAATCTTTGTCACTTAGGTTTGAGTTCTTAATCTGCTTCATTCCACGCACGGCGACGAAGACCAGTGTTGGCGATGGCGATCATATTCTTGTGTCATCTCAGTCAGTCGTAATCCTCCACAGTCAGCGTCGACCGACCGTGTGAGAAGACGGAAGGCGATTTTAGGGTTGCTACCGCAGATAACTCCACCGTGGTCCGATTTTAGGGTTTGTCGTCGAAGTCGTTTTGGAAGCCTTCTCGAAGTTGTTTCTGTCAACTAAGTGTTTATTGTCATGCGTTATTCATTATATAAATCATGGATTGGTCCATTAACCTGTTCAACCAATAATGTATTGATAACGTATTGGTTAACATGTTTAAACAATAACCAAACTGATTAAATTTTAGCTTGGTTAATTTGCTTGATTTTGTTATGGTATTCTATTATATGATTACTAAAATTTAGATTTATTTGATTTGATAATTACCATTATAACCGTTTAAACACCTCCTAGATTCATGAACTCGTGTTTAATACTATATTGGTAATCAATACATTTCTGAAAAATATTGAAGAAAATTGGTAAAACTAGTAAAAAATGGTAAAACCAAAAGAGGTAAAACTAGTTGAGACTTGACTGCTCTCTGTTTAAAGGCAGAAGATTGAAAATGTGTTTATTACATTTAGCTAATAAATCTATGGGTATTGAAGTCCTGTTATCCTAATATCGTATTTTAAAGGTTTCTTTCAAAGCTTTGTAATATGGCGGTGAAAATGTGAAATTTTCATCGAGATAAATCATGTTTGGCAATGTCCAACACTATTTTCATTTATTTATATATATAAACGAGATTCTAAAATGTCAACATCTTTCTTAGTAGCGAGACAAAAACAATTATTATAAAATTAATTCACACTGGTATAATTAGATATTTGTATCCCACCATTAAGCTTCACTTTTGCTATAAGACGATCTTGTCATTATTAACCTTCTTTAACCAAACAAACAAAGAAACCTTTCATTGTTGCACAATCAGAAAACCTACTTTACACATTGGAAGGAAGTGTTGGAAAGATTTTGAAAGGGTCCTACGAAGAAGAGGCTAGCTAATTGGAGAAAGGGTATATGGAAAGGTTCGTACTATTTGTAGCCCTAAATTATTTTTATTTGTAGCCCTAAATTATAAAAAGTACAATAATACCCATAACATTTAAATACATTTACTTCACACATTCCAAGACCAAAACATTCAAACACTTTTCCAAACACAATCCAACAACACTCGCCGCCGGCGACCGCCACCTCCCACCGGCGACCGTCACCTCCCGCCAGAGACCGCGCCACCTCCCGCCGGCGACCGCCACCCCCGACGACGACAGCTCCTTTCTCCGACGAGGTACGTCGGCAAATAACCCGACAACGACGGACGAACGTCCGGCCGGGACGTCGCCGATTTTTTTTTTGTTTTTTAATTTTTTGTTAATTTAAATTTGTGAAGTATATTAGATTTTTAAAATATATTAATTTAGATTTTCGGTTATTATTTTAGATTTTTTAATTATCATATTGTTTAGAAAAATTTGTTCTAATATTATTTTGAAAATGAAGTTATTGAATTTTTATTTTTCATATTTCGAAACGAAGTTAAGAATTTAGACTTTTAATTGCCATATTTTAAGAATATGTAGTGTTTTTATTATTGTAATTTATTATTTTATGAATATTGTAATTACCATATTTTTAGTAGGATTTTTTATAATATTATTTGTAGAATGAAGTTCTTTAACTTCATTTTTTATTATTTTGAAACTAAGTTAATGTTTACTAACAATAATTTAGACTTTGAAGAATATTTAGCGATTTTATTGTAGTTTATTATTTTATGATATTGTAATTATCATATTTTTTAGGATGGATTTGCTATAATATTATTTTTAGAATGAATTTCTTGAATTTCATTTTTTTATATTTTGAAACTATGTTAGTATTACTGAAACTATTTTTTTTGTATGTATTTCTTGAAGTTGGTCAAGTTCGGACTTCTGGATATCACTACATCAGATAATGAGTAACACGGTTAGTGAGTTAAACTTTTTAATTTTGGAATCATGTTGAATTATTTATTGTTATGATGAAGTCTAGTAATTGATAATATGCTTAAATATTTGCTTTACAATGATACATATTGTTTGAAAAATGTTGAATTATTGATTTTACTATCTTGTTGATAATTTAATTAGTACGTGTCTACTTGTTGCATGTTGAAATATTAGGATTTGGCAGTTAATCATGTTAAATGTGCTAATTTTTTATTGAAAATGTATTGGATTAGTTAATGTTCAAATATTGAATAATTGTTAACAACGTTGTGTTGTTGATAATTTAATGAGTACGTGTCTACTTGTTAAAAAAATTTTATTGCATATTGAAATATTAGGATTTGGTAGTTAATCATGCTAAATGTGCTAATTTTTTGTTG